GTAATATAATGATGTGGTGGACCTACACCCACCTTGTGTTTACCATGTAATATAATGATGTGGTGGACCTACACCCACCTTGTGTTTACCATGTAATATAATGATGTAGTGGATCTACACCCACCTTGTGTTTACCATGTAATATAATGATGTAGTGGTCTACACCCACCTTGTGTTTACCATGTAATATAATAATTTAGTGGATCTACACCCACCTTCTGTTTACCATGTCTTTACATTAAACGTAATGATGTAGTGGATCTACACCCACCTTGTGTATACCATGTAATATAATGATGTGGTGGATCTACACCCACCATGTGTTTACCATGTAGTATAATGATGTAGTGGATCTACACCCACCTTGTGTTTACCATGTAATATAATGATGTAGTGTCTACACCCACCTTGTGTTTACCATGTAATATAATGATGTAGTGGATCTACACCCACCTTGTGTTTACCATGTAATATAATGATGTGGTGGACCTACACCCACCTTGTGTTTACCATGTAATATAATGATGTAGTGTACCTACACCCACCTTTATTGATGAAGAATCTTTATTTCAGGTACATCAAGATGTCCAGCCCTTATATGAATAACATTATAATTGTTGGCTGTATGTTAACATATACCAGTGTTATACTCCTGGGTCTTGATAGTGGACTGACCAGCGAAGAAAGTTTTCCATACATATGTACTGTAAGTTGTTATTGTTGAAAAAATTATAGTATAGTTTTAGTAAAGAGATATTATACCTCATTTAACTAACAAAACCAGAAACTAGGAGGATCACAAATATGGATGAATTGAGGTTGAAAGAAAGTCAAATAATGGTAACTGTAGAGGAAGAATGAACGATGTATAGATGAATAGTATTGGTAATGTTTGTTACCATGATATATCCTTACTCTTGTTCTACAGGCTAGAGCGTGGGTCCTGATGAACGGGTTTACCCTGGCTTTTGGGTCCATGTTTAGTAAGACCTGGAGGGTTCATGCTATTTTTACAAATATAAAAATGAATAAGAAGGTAAGTAAATTTGTTTATTAATAATAATTTAAACATAAACAGTAGCACAAAACTCGAACGTAACGTAATGTTTGTGATAGAAGAAATTGCAGTTGAATAATCTTACGTTTAATAAAATGTTTCACGTTTACTACTAAATCATCACCCGAGAGGAAAGGAAAGAAGATGACATTCTGGCTTCTTCAGGCTTCAGTATAGAAGACGAAACGTCAGTTACACTACATTATAGTTTTCAAACCTAATCTGCCTGAAGTTCCACTACTTTATATTACCTTCTTTATCAACATTACCTTCTTCGTGCTCTAAACAAACTACTCATTCAAAGTTATTCTCAATAACTTCTGATCGATTTTTTATGTTTATATATATATAGATATAGATATATAGATACAGAGAGTAAAAATACTGAATTACTCAAAACATAATAATCCAATAATCTGATGTTTGAGAAGTCAGGCACTGGCCTTGACAGAGGCTTTCCTTTCTCCAATAATCTGATGTTTGAGAAGTCAGACACTGGCCTTGACAGAGGCTCTTCTTTCTTCAATAATCTTACGTTTGAGAAGTCAGGCACTGGCCTTGACAGAGGCTCTCCTTTCTCCAATAATCTGATGTTTGAGAAGTCAGGCACTGGCCTTGACAGAAGCTTTCCTTTCTCCAATAATCTTACGTTTGAGAAGTCAAGCACTGGCTTTGACAGAGGCTCTCCTTTCTCCAATAATCTTACGTTTGAGAAGTCAGGCATTGGTCTTGATAGAGGCTCTCCTTTCTCCAATAATCTTACGTTTGAGAAGTCAGGCATTGGCCTTGACAGAAGCTTTCCTTTCTCCAATAATCTTACGTTTGAGAAGTCAAGCACTGGTCTTGATAGAGGCTCTCCTTTCTCCAATAATCTTACGTTTGAGAAGTCAGGCACTGGCCTTGACAGAAGCTTTCCTTTCTCCAATAATCTTACGTTTGAGAAGTCAGGCACTGGCTTTGACAGAGGCTCTCCTTTCTCCAATAATCTCCTACAGGTTCTTCTAGTTATAATGTCTAATGTGACATCACTTCCTATCTTCCTGCACTTCCTATCTTCCTATATTTTCCCGGTTTTATTGTTGTTGTTTTTTTCTGTTGGATGGCGCTTCACGCACACGTGTAACAACAAACTACCTTGGAGTAGAATATGAAACTAAAAAAATTAAACTCATGCTCAAACTTACATCCTATCAAGATTAAACATCATGTTAGTTACCATTTTAGTTACCATGTTATTTACCATGTTGCTATGTTTACAAAGAATATTTTCAAGTAAAACCTATATGAAACATGAAAGTTTTAAAATGCTGTGATGTTATAACTCATAAATACTTAAACTATCTACACACGTTATAACTCATAAATACTTAAACTATCTACACACGTTATAACTCATAAATACTTAAACTATCTACACACGTTATTACTCATAAATACTTAAACTATCTACACACTTTATAACTCATAAATTCTTAAACTATCTACACACGTTATAACTCATAAATACTTAAACTATCTACACACTTTATAACTCATAAATACTTAAACTATCTACACACGTTATAACTCATAAATACTTAAACTATCTACACACGTTATAACTCATAAATACTTAAACTATCTACACACGTTATAACTCATAAATTCTTAAACTATCTACACACGTTATAACTCATAAATACTTGAACTATCTACACATGTTATAACTCATAAATACTTAAACTATCTACACATGTTATAACCCATAAATACTTGAACTATCTACACATGTTATAACTCATAAATACTTAAACTATCTACACACTTTATAACTTATAAATACTTAAACTATCTACACACGTTATAACTCATAAATACTTGAACTATCTACACATGTTATAACTCATAAATACTTAAACTATCTACACACGTTATAACTCATAAATACTTGAACTATCTACACATGTTATAACTCATAAATACTTGAACTATCTACACATGTTATAACTCATAAATACTTAAACTATCTACACATGTTATAACTCATAAATACTTAAACTATCTACACACTTTATAACTCATAAATACTTAAACTATCTACACATATTATAACTCATAAATACATAAACTTGACGACCTTATACTATTATTAGTTCACCAATTTTCGGATATTTTGTAAATAGTTACAGATGTTTGACATAAAGTTTACGTTTATAACTCACAATAAATAAATCCACACATATCTGTATAAAAGTGTCTGTGATTTTACTAACAATAGAATTAGTGGAACTAAGGTTTGTTGACCTTATACTCAGTCCCATTAAATATAGATAGTATGTCATCCATAGACTGGTGGTCGTAAAGCCTAAACTGTCTTGTTTTATCGCAGGTAATCCAAGATTACAAGCTATTTATGGTTGTCGGCGTGCTGGTCATCGTAGATGTAGCCATATTAACCACTTGGCAGGTCATTGACCCTTTCTATCGAGAAACTAGCCTCGGAACAAAGATGGTAAGTCAACTATTTTTTCCTTTTTGGTGCACTTTAGTAAAGATTCCCTTCTTGAAATTGTGTATTGTTATAAAGATAGTGTTAAGTTGTTATTCAATCCTTGGACCTGGATGGATTTAATACATATAGTTCCATATAAGCTGCTTAATGTTTTCAATTAAGACGAAATTAATAGTCATTTAAACTGTGGTACCTGATGGTACCATGCTTCTCCCACTCCATAAGTTAATTAATATATGAATTTGTTTATTTTCTTTCAATTCTGTTTGGACAGAGAAAGTGATTCAAGTAAACACACCTAAAATTTTCCTGATTCTAGATATGCACGGAAACTAGCCCACGAATTGCCAACTAACTGCATTTTCTTGCAGGAAAGATAGCGTTATGTCCCAAAATAGAAGGCTATCTTTTCTGTCGGCGAATCGGCTAATGGCCCATGGTCCGAAATGGATGAAGAGTGGTTGAGAAGTAACGTGCAACCTGAGTGAAAGCAAATAATAATATGTTATAATATATTAACCACCCTACCTGTACCGTATCCAGTGCCAACGAGGCCATTCGTCTAATACCAGGACTCGTTAGTTTTCATGATTAATAACTTTTAAGGTGTAGATCATATTAATTGTTATCAACTTTATTTCAGTAATTTACAAGTCATATTTTTAGGGTAAGAATTAATAACACAGCATTATTTGTTTTATTTTTATAACTGATTATGTATTTATTTTATTATTAACATTATTTATTTCAATTAACTTTACTATCAATCACAAATACTGTCGAAACAGGTTTACAGAACTAATTTATAAAATCAATCGTTTTGGAATGTCGAAATCGTGTTATAACTTGTAATAGGTTCTGACGATCAAATTAAATCACACCTTTTACAGAACTTCTTCTCAGAGGTGTTCTCTTACTAATAACAGTAGTTTACAGGCTGCAGACATTATGATTGTTTTATATTTTACAGTCGTGAGTGTCATATCTGGCTAGAGAAATATGTTTCACACGTAAATTTTCGTTTCGTTTGTTTCAAGGCAACAAAAGAGGCCGAAACAAAACAAAACTCGTTTTCGAAACCGAATTGTAACGACGTGAAACTATATTCTTGAATGTGACTATAGAAAACAAATGAACACTGATTTAAGGATTTACTTCGTATAATTTACTTTTACAGCAAATACCTTATAACACCGATTTAAGGATTTATTCTTTAGTAACTTCGTATAAATTACTTTTACAGCAAATACCTTATAACACTGATTTAAGGATTTATTCTTTAGTAACTTCATATAATTTACTTTTACAGCAAATACCTTATAACACTGATTTATTCTTTAGTAACTTCGTATAATTTACTTTTACAGCAAATACCTTATAACACCGATTTAAGGATTTATTCTTTAGTAACTTCGTATAATTTACTTTTACAGCAAATACCTTATAACACTGATTTAACGATTTATCCTTTAGTAACTTCGTATTATTTACTTTTACTGGAAATATCTTATAACACTGATTTAACGATTTATCCTTTAGTAACTTCGTATTATTTACTTTTACTGAAAATATCTTATAACACTGATTTAACGATTTATCCTTTAGTAACTTCGTATTATTTACTTTTACTGGAAATATCTTATATAAAGTTTAGTTTGAAATTTGGTATTGACTCTGATAACTTTTGTGAGATATCCCTTTCCAGTTGTAATGTAAACATCTTTCGAAACTCCAACCAGAAGAAAACTCTTTAACCATACAAGGACTGGCAGTGATGAAAAATAGTTTAAGTTCATCCATCACTTGAAGTATGTTACACGTTTTGCGCTCTATGCTCCTCATCTATATGTTTTGCAATCTATGCTCCTCGTCTACACGTTTTACAGTCTACGCTCCTCATCTACACGTTTTACAATCTGTGCTCCTCATCTGCATGTTTTGCCATCTTTGCTCATCATCTACACGTTTTGCAATCTATGCTCCTCATCTACACGTTTTGCCTTCTTTGCTCCTCATCTACACGTTTTACAGTCTACGCTCATCATCTACACGTTTTGCAATCTATGCTCCTCATCTGCATGTTTTGCCATCTTTGCTCCTCATCTACACGTTTTACAATCTATGGTCCTCATCTACACGTTTTGCAATCTATGGTCCTCATCTAAACGTATTACAATATATGGTCCTCATCTACACGTATTACAATCTATGGTCCTCATCTAAACGTATTACAATCTATGGTCCTCATATACACGTATTACAATCTATGGTCCTCATCTACACGTATTACAATCTATGGTCCTCATATACACGTATTACAATCTATGGTCCTCATCTACACGTATTACAATCTATGGTCTGCACCTACACATCTTACAGTCTAATCTTTGAAAAGAACACCAACCTCTGGTAAAATGATGTTATAGTTCTTATTAACCTCATTCATTAATATTTGGTAAAAGGTTGCGATAGTTCCTATCAACCTCATTTAAATCTTGACACGGTGATCCATTAATCTTGGATGATAGGTTGTGATAGTTCCTATCAACCTCATTCAAATCTTGACACGGTGATCCATTAATCTTGGATGATAGGTTGTGATGGTTCCTATCAACCTAATTCAAATCTTGACAAGGTGGTCCATTAATCTTGGATGATAGGTTGTGATGGTTCCTATCAACCTCATTCAAATCTTGACACGGTGATCCATTAATCTTTGATGATAAATCTTGACACGGTGATCCATTAATCTTTGATGATAGGTTGTGATGGTTCCTATCAACCTCATTTAAATCTTGACACGGTGATCCATTAATCTTTGGTATAAGGTTGTGATGGTTCCTATCAACCTCATTTAAATCTTGACACGGTGATCCATTAATCTTTGATGATAGGTTGTGATAGTTCCTATCAACCTCATTTAAATCTTGACACGGTGTTCCATTAATCTTTGATGATAGGTTGTGATGGTTCCTATCAACCTCATTCAAATATTAGATTTAAATGAGGTTGATAGGAACTATCACAACCTATCATCAAAGATTAATGGACCACCGTGTCGACACGGTGTTCCATTAATCTTTGGTATAGGTTGTGATGGTTCCTATCAACCTCATTCAAATCTTGACACGGTGGTCCATAAATCTTTGAATAGAACACTAACCTTAGTATCAGTTAAAAGGTAATTATACAACATGCACTGAAAGCTTGGTTGTTGTTTCTTTGTTGAGGTTATTGAGTAGGTGTAGAGTTCACCAAAACCGCTGTAACTCAGTGACAAGGGACGTATCGAAAGATAAACCGTACTTCGTATTTCTTTCTCGGGGAAAAACAAATACACGAGTTAGGTTTATAGTTATTACAATTGTGGTATAGTACGTCCGCATATGATTTATGTTCTTACATATATATTAATTAAACTGTTAAATTGTCTTCTTAAAAATCTGTTTGATATATTTTTTTCAGCCATCTGCACAGAACGAAGATTCAGTTGTTATACCAGAGCTGGAATTTTGTAAAAGTCAAAAGATGACAATCTTTCTTGGTTCTATCTACGCATATAAAGGGTTACTTATGGTGAGTTTTTATCTTTCTTGGTTCTATCTACGCATATAAAGAGTTATTTATGGTGAGTTTTTTAATATATTCATTGGTTTTATATACCAATATAAAGGGTTATTTATGGTGAGTTTTTAATATATGTATTGGTTTTATATACCAATATAAAGGGTTATTTATGGTGAGTTTTTAATATATTCATTGGTTTTATATACCAATATAAAGGGTTATTTATGGTGAGTTTTTAATATATTCATTGGTTTTATATACCAATATAAAGGGTTA